GGGGGGGGGGGGGGAGAATCAGCCCTGGCTGGTGTGGCTCGGTTGGTTGGAGTGTCATCCTGTCCATTTAAAGGTAGAGGGTTTGATTCCAGGTCAGAGCACATACCTAGGTTGAAGGTTTGATCCAAAGTTAGGGTAAGTACGGGAGGCAACTAATCCATGTTTCTCTCTCACATCGATGTTTTTCTCTTTCTTTCTCTCCCTCTTCCCTCCTTCCTCCCTCTCTAAAAAGAAAGGCGGGAGAGATTAAAATTAAAAATAAATTAATTAAAAATCAGAATCAAATAAATACCTGCTGGCATCTATTAGAAAACAAAATAAAGTAATAAAGCAGGTAAAATGATCAAGAAAAACTCTTACTGTCAAAGCAACTGTTCTTCTAAGCCAATGATATAAAATTTTCTCAAATTAAATGAGACAAAAAGTTATCAATGTAAAATCCTAGGAAAGAGCTAAGCATATGTCTTTAAAAATTAAGCATTTCAATCCATTCAATCAACAGAAGCATAAACACCATCTTTTAGTTTCAATAATAAAAACATCTTTTGAAAAGTGCTGGATCATTTCACATTTAATGAAGGCCAAAAAACCCCAGTATTTTATTCTACATTTCCCCTCTAAACCCTCCAAAATATACTGTACCAAACCCACTGAAGGAAAAGGTCAGGTCCTGGACTTGGTCATTTCTTTATGAAGCTGCAGTGTCAATACAGCTCACTGTCCTATACATGAAGACTGGATACCTTATAGAGTCTCAAAGGAGCTGTGCTGCAAAAACAGACCCTACCCTTCCAATATTTCATCTAAAGCAAATACAGCGCAGTCCACCTAACTGCAAATCAACAGGTTTAAGATCCCTTGAAGTTCTGTCTCTCCATTCCTGGGATGAAAAATTTAGCATGAGAGATAGGGAGCCCACACCTGCCTCTGCCTCTGCCTCTGCCTCTGCCTCTTGCTGAGAAGGACCACCACAAACTAGGGCTCCAGGATCAAAGGGAGTGGGGAACTCCAGGAAGTAGGGGGCAGAGCTGAAAGGATGGTCTCTGAGTGAAGAAAGCAAAGTTTGAGATGGCCCAGAAAGACCAGAGATTACTGTTGCTAGAAAAAGAAAAGAAGGGACCTTTCTGGTAACCACACACCTGGGACTGTTGCAGGAAGCTGTGGGTAGTTTCTAAATATCTACTTGCTGAAGCGAACTCTCCACAGCCTGAGAATCATCCAAGGTATCCTAGTATCAGATCTGTATTCAAAATGCAGAGCAACAGCTTCCACACAAAAGCCAAAAGTTATTCACCAGCCCATCAGAAAGTCACCAAGCCTAGTGTGACACCAGAACAAGATCCTACACTGAGCTCTCTCACAGCTGGAAAAGCAACAGAGAACAGGTAGGAGGAGTTGTATTGCCTCCAATCCTTGCTCCTGGTGGTCCTAGTGCAAACTTCCCTGATTAATCCACACACTATACAGTTAATGTCTGTTAATAGCCGTGACTAAATAATTCTAAAGAGGTAATGTCATAAGCATTATCACTGCTACACAGGCTAGTCCATAAAAGTCATTTTAACCCACAATGTACTTGGGCTCCAATCCCAACAGAATTTTCCCCAATACCCTTCAGTGTCTAAGAACAAATCTCATTTCCCTGACCTCCCTGACTGCAGGTTGTTCTAGGTGACATTCAGGACCAAGAAAAGCCAGGTAAAAGAATTATCTGTAGATTCTAATAACTTAGGCCCTCTCTATTTGCTAAGAGAAACACCTCAGTACTTTTGCAGAGAAAGTGCTGCTTTACACCCATCACTTCCAGTTATTCTAAATTTTAATCCAAAGACTGCTGTGGGAAGGAGATCCTATGGCATGTTTTGCAAGTTGGGCCCATCTATACTGATTTACTGTTACCTGTCTAAATTATGAGCTTAGGACCACAGAACAACTGAAGCAGTCATTAATTAGGGTCATGTTTACCCTCCCATTGTCAACTAAGAACATGTTGTTTTTGTTGCTTTAGAAGAAAGGTCTCCCAAGTTCATTACAGCTGTTACTCCTGCTCGGTGAGAGATATCCAGCTTTAATCTGGAATTTGTGGATGGCTATTCCTACATCTCATAGCAGGGGCCCACCCTCATTCAATACTTCCACAGAATGACAGTTCTTTGGAAGTCAAGAGTCCTAAATAAGCTAATAATTTATTGAACTACAAACAAGATCTTAATTAATGTGCTAACAGTTATTGCCTGTTTATGTAAAATTAGCATAAACTCCATCTTTTTGCTTACTACAGAAATTCTCATGAGGCAAATTTCCTTGAACCCCATCATGAGAATTGGTTACTAAAGGAAGTAAAAAAACTTTCCATTAAAGTAGATGCACATCCAAGGTGGCTCCAGAAGAATCCCTAGGGACAGTGACAGAGCTACAGAGGGAAAGGGCAGGCATCAAGAAAGAGCTAAAGCCTGGCCGGAGTGGCTCAGTTGGTTGAGTTCACACTGTGCACTGAAAGGTTGCCGGTTTGATTCCCAGTCAGGGCACATAGCTGGGTTGTGAGTTCGATCCTGATCGGGGCAAGTATGGAAGGCAACTGATTGATGTTTCTCTCTCATGTTGATGTCTTTTTGTCTTTCTCTCTCTCTCTGTCTGAGCATGTCCTCAGTGAGGATTTTTTTTTAAAAAGAGGGAAAAAAAGAAAGAGCTAAAGAAAGTCCTGACTGAGCTTCCAGATGTCTTCATTTGGTGTTCAACTTGTAAGTAAGCGCCAGGAGAGTGAGTTAGTGAGAGTCGGACTGCGGCCTTAACAGTCAGCTTACCTAACAGCTTTTCACAAGCAGGGGCATGTCCCAACACTGTCAGGCGCAGCCCTTTACCGTGGGTGAACACTCCTTTCCACCATCCACAAAAACGCCAGCATCACCATGGTTTCAGCAGCAGTGGTCACACAAGGTCCAAGTTCTGTGGTGCATGAGGAAAAAGGCTTTAAGCTGAAGAGTGAAGTAACCGAAATTGTAGATGTAAATATCCCAGGACTCTTGTAGTCTTTGTTTCAGAAGTGGCAGAACTATATAAGCATTCCGCAGCTTAGTGGTAGGCTGTGTTCCAGTCTACATAAGATTCAGCTCTTCTGGAACACAAAACACATTTTCCAACTGGAAAACGTTAGGTTTCTAATGCAGCCTAAAATTGAACCTGTATTTATTTCTTTCAACAAATACTTACTGAGCTCTAGCCTGCATGGAGTTTACATTCTAATGGAGGGGGGGAGACAACAGCAAAAGGGAAGAAATAAATAATAATGTTACTGCCATTGGTGATTAGTGCTGTGTGGAGAAAAAAGAACCCTACAAGTGGTGATGAGGGAAGGTCCGCTGAGAAGGGACTGCAGTGGAGACCAAAGAAGTGATAGCGGGGGTGGGATGCTTCCCAATGAGGGGTGGCTGTGCCAGGGTTAAGAGGCAGGAAAGACTTTAGTGTGGTAGAGTGGAAAACAACGGCATAAGATAAGGGTTCGGGGGGGCTTGTACACCACAAAAGGGAGCTTATATCTAATTCTGAGTGCAGTGGGAAGCCACTGAATAGTTTTAAGCAGTGGACTGAAATGTTCTGGTTTTCATTTCGGGACCAGTATTGCTGCGATGGAGAAGAGATGGAAGGGGGTGAAGTGAAAACAGAAAAAACAGGTAGAAGGCTGTTGCAGTGATCTAGGGCGAGCCAATGGTGGTCTGAACTAAGATGCTCACTAGGCAGAGGGAGGACAGAGCAGCCTGGGGGTATGTCTTGGAGTTAAAATCAGAACTTCTGATTGAATGTGGGAGAGGAAATATAGGAACTGCCTCCTTGTTTGTAAAATAGGGATAAACACAGTAAAATGCAGTACTGGCACAATGCACATGCTCAGTCTCTGGGGGACTGTGTGTGTTCCGAACTCCACCCACCACTTACTGGCCAAGGGACCTTGAGTGCTGTGGGGAGTAAGTGAATCTCTCAGTGTTTCTGTTGCTGACATTATATGTCAACCAGGGATAGTAACAGTATCTACCTCATGGATTTGTTGTGAGAATTCAATGAGTTAGTATTTATAACATGCTTAAAACAGTGCCTGGTATGTACTAGGAGCTATGTAATCTATTCTTATTACTATTACTACTATCGTCATCTATCTCATAGATGGTACTATTGATTGAGTTAATTAATGCAATGCCTTTAAGGAAGTGTCTGGGACATAATAAACTCTCAACAAATGTCAGCTCTTACTGTTATCATCATGAATGACTGCCAGCTCGTGCTGGCAATAACTGAGGTGCAGAACAGGACAGACGAGGGGACTATGGATGGGGCCTATGGAAGCAGTTCCACTTGAAATGTTAAGTTTGCACTGTCTGTAAGACATTCAAATGTCAAGGTCAAGTAAGAAGCTGGGCACATGAATTTGAACCTCAGAGGAGAAGTCTGGACTAGAGGTAGTAACTTAAGAGTCACCACATAAAGATGAGTTAACTACAGAAAATGGCAAGTCAGTGAGAGAGGATGGACATGCAGAAGAGGGTCTGGTGGTGAGCCCCGTGGAACCTCAACATTCCCGGTCAGGCCAATGTAGGGAGCAGGTAGAGGAAACTGAGAAAGGACAGTCAGGAAGAAAAAAGCCCACAGGGAGTGAAGTCCTCACAGCAGACGGAGAGGGTCTGCTGAGAGGTCAAAATGTATGGAGACCTTGGATGTGGCTCCATGGAGGTTATTGGTGATGCTGATGAGTGCATTTTTAGCATCTTACATATTCATTTCAACTCTACCTAATTTTCATTTACAACACTGTCCGTAAAAGAAAATGCATTCCAAGGGCAATGTGCAGTGGGGAAAACTCTGACCTTGGAGTCAAGAGACCAAACTTCAAGCTCCAGTGAGGTCTTGGGTAAGCCCCTCAGCAAGGGGACAGGTAAAATGACAAAGCTTGACTAGATTCCCAAACAGGTCCTGAGTTCCCTACGTGTTTAAAACCCATTAATCAAAGTCCATAGCTATTTTTCAATATTTAAAACATGTACTGATCGGTTTTCAGCCTGCTGGCTAAGATGAAGTGTAAAACATGTACTGAGAACTATGCAACTACCTAAGATAAAGTTACACAGACTATCACATTTCTTTGTTCTTGGCTGAACTTATAACTAGGTGTGGTAACACTTGTAAACTTGGGAAGCAGTTAAGAAGGGAGACTCTGGATTTGAATGCCTGACTTCAAAAATCCTGGCTGGGTCACTTGCTCCTCACTATGTGACTAGAGATATGCTATTAACCACTCAAGGTCTCAGTTTCCACATCTGTAAAACTAGGAGTATGATAGTACCTATCTCACAGAGCAGTTGAAGGTTTTAAATGAGTTAATCCTTGTAAGGTTTTAGCAGGAGCTCCCTGTGGGCTTTCTTCCTCCCTCTTAACTGTTCTTTCTCAGTCTCCTCTGGGCAGCATGGCCTAACCGGGAATGTTGGGGTTCCTTGGAGCTCACGACCAGATCCTCTCCTCCATCTCCATCCTCTCCCTCACTGAGCTCAACAGGAAGCATATAATTAAGTACAACTGGCCCTTGAACAACATGGGTTTCAACTGCGCAGGTCCACTTATGCATAGATTTCCTCCAATAACTAAATATACAGTCAACCCTCCATATCTGTGGGTTTTGCATCCGAGGAGTCAACCCATCACAGATAGAAAAAAAACCACACTGTTTTCAACCCACGGTTGGTTGAATCCGTGCATATGAAGGGATAACTGTAAAGTTTTGAGGAGTGAAAAGTTATACAGATTTTCAACTGTTGTGGGGGGCAGGGTTGGCACCCCTAGTCACTTCTTGTTCAAGGGTCAACTACACAGAACAAACAGGAGCTATTAATACCATTACCTTATAATGAACAAAAATTCTTAGCCATTAATAAGATCACAGTAATTTCTGAGGCAAAAAGGAACAATAATAAAGAGAAGACTATGATGCTGAAAATGTTGGTGACCACTGGTAACTCCTAACTCAAAATTTCTTCTTCTGGATGCCTGAAACACACCTACCATCCAAACATGATGGCATAATGAGTTTCAAGATGGCACATGAAACTCATTAAAATCTAGAGGATAAGGCTTTTTGCTCCCCTCCTACACTGTGTAACCTCTCTGAGGGCAGCATCCACATGATTTAGTGACACCCTATCAGCAACTGTTGAACTAATCCCTTGGTACTTAACCCCCTTACTCCTAAATTCCACTCCTAAATTTATAATTTAGAAATTAAAGATTCTAAATTATTTTCTGCAAATACTTTTGAAGTCTTTTGAAGTCTCCAATGTACAAAAAATCCTTTGAATGACATACCTAACCCCAGCCCCACCCTCTGCACACATCCTTTGTCTCACCTGAAGCACAAATGGACAGGTTTTCAGATGTAGCCTTCCAGTAAGTTTTGCCCAGCACAGATTCACTCTCACTTGTTTCTAACTTTAAAATCCAACTTTTCAGAACCTTTTTTTTTTTTAACTTTGGGAGGACAGTTATACATGAATCAGAGGTACCCTTCTGAAATTTCTAAAGGGAGAAAAAAACCTCTGAGCTCCAAGAGACAAATTATATGTGATTTTTATGTGAGTTAAGACATTTCTCTGCCCTTCCTCCTTTTTTTTTTTTTAAATTCTCACCTGAGGATATTTTTTCCATTGATTTTCAGACGGAGAAGGAGAGGAGGAGAGGGCGTGGAGGCAGAGGGGGAGGGGGAAGGGGAGTGACATCGATGTGAGAGATATATCTACTTGTTGCCTTCCACACACGCCCTTACCGGGGCCAGGGATCAAATAGGCAATCGAGGTACGTGCTCTTGGCCCGAATCGAACCCGGAACCCTTCAGTCCACAGGCCGACGCTCTAACCACTGAGCAAAACTGGCTAGGGCTGCCCTTCCTCCTCTTAAGTGACATAATCCTGAGGAAGCTGAACCTAAATAGCTACTCTCCTTACTAGGATTCAAATACTTTAATACCACATGAAAAGCAACAATTAATAACAAAATAGGAAAGAGCAGAGACTATCAAAAAACTGCTTGTATTAAATAAACCAATTATGTTTACAATCTGATGGTCTATGTAAACTCTGAGACAAAAGTGAAGGCAGCCTCAACAGTTGCCACACTTAAGCTCAATGGAGGCTGGGGTAAATTAGTTCTAATTCAGACACTTCATTAGTGAAGCATCCAGACTTTCAGGAAGAAATTTGCAAAGTTTAGGAAGGCTTTAAAAAAAACAAGCATCAAATCATAGATGATGTGTGTTAATTTTAGCTGTGAGAGTCCAAAGTGAATTGTGAAATGAGGAAAGCAGCCAAGGGGACACTCAAGCAAGAAATGTTCACTGAGTGCGCAGCACAGGCACAGACAAGGGCTGGAGGCTAGCATGCAAAGTCCAGTGAGGTCCTGTACCTGCCCAGAGGAGCTCCCTGCAGAGTGGAAGAAGAGCAGGAAATAGATATACTTCAATGCTACCAGATAAATGCTGTAACCATTGACCAGCAAAGTGCTCTGGGGCAGAGCTGAGAGAATCTTGATTGGGTCACTGATTCCTGGCAACACAAAGCCAGTGTAGGATCTTAAGAAGACAGTGCAATAGCAAAGCAAAAAAAGAGAGCTCAAACTTGGGCCAAAGAAAGGGGAATTTACTGGTGTGAACTATACTGAAAAAAATATCCAAATAATGACAGGGAAGCAACCCAAGTATCCATCAACAGATGAAGGGATAAGCAAAATGTGGTATATCCATACAATGGAATATTATTCAGCCTTAAAAAGTATGGACAAAGAGGGGTTCTATAATGTATCTACCCAAAAGCAACCTCACAGGGTGATTTGATCATATACTCTTACCTGGGCAGGTCATGGTGGGTAGTCATATCTGAGGCCTATAACTTCCCTAGTAAATGGTTACCTTTGCCTTAAGCAAATCTTGTCCATTGTTTTTGTGCATCTAGGTTAACACATCTTTGAAATGCCTTTTTTTTCAGCCCCCTGGGAAACAGAAATATGACCACCCTCAAGAGAACATATGATCTTGTTAACTATCCTGAAACCCAATCCCCGCCTTGCTTTTTCCTGCCGGCATGTAACCTTCCTTAATTCCCTCCTTAATGCTAAATATATAAAAGAAGCCGCAGACTGTCATTCTGGGAAGCATTTTTCTCAGTATGTTGAGATCTTGCTTTCAGGTGCGTCCTCTGTTTGGCTCAAAT